AAAAAAAAAAAAAAAAAAAGATTAAAAAAATTAAAAATCAAAACAAAAATTAACAATTCAATAATGTGGAGAAACATTACTGCTACAAAGCCAGAACTGAATGTAGCAAGATAACTCCAATAGAACATTAAGGTATGCACACACACACACACACACACACACACACACACAACGTTTGAACAAACTTCCGCGCAAGCCAGTACAGATCAAGTGTAAGTTCACCTGCGCGACGGTATTCAGATGAATTCGAGCAAATGGCTGCAGCAAAAACGATCTAAATTAGCACAGAAATGATTTGTACAATACAATAGTCGTCTCTGCCGCTACTGCCCTGAGAGTTTCGCATGGATAGAGAAAATGGAGGGAAGGACTCAAAAGATGCCTTTGGGGATTAATCTGGTGCGACGATTGTACATCGTCGATTGAATCTCAACCGTCGATCGATTTGTACTATATTACTTTGTTTTTTTTTCGGCGATTTGTTCTATATTACAGTATATATATTACTTGATTCTTCAAAGTGACGATGATTGGCGCAGTAGCCGAATATTTGCGGCAGAGCTTTTTTTTTTTTTTTTTTTTTTTTTTTTTTTTTTTTTTTTCGATAATTTTGTCCATCTCTCTTAAATTGATATATGTAATTTTTTACCTTCCTCAAATTTTTTACAGTATATATATATTTTTTTTACTTTATCATATAATTTTTTTTTTTTGTACAACTTTATCATATAGTTTTTAAAAAAGGTTAATTGTCTATAATTTCTCGCTTTTTATATAATTGCAAATAAAACTCAAATTTTTTATTTTCCTAAATAAATGCCAAACCTTTGCCCTGTGTTGCAGATCTCTCAAAACTATTGTTCGGTCAATTCTTGTTGACGTGTCAGATTAAAAATTTTACGTGGCACTGATGAGACTTGTAAATTATGAGATTAACTCGTAAATGTATACATGGAGAAAAATCGCTGCATTTTTTTTTTCTTTTTGAATTTGGGGTGAACTTATTTATGTAAATGAAGAATGGAACAACAACATGGTGAACTCGTTTTTTGTTGGGGGTGAACTCAAATTGAAAAAGAAAAAAAAAAATTGCAACGATTCTTCTCCATGCACGATTCTTCACCCTTGACATTCCGAATACATTTACGAGTTCACCTCCAAATTCTGAAAAATTGAGCAAAGGGGGCGATTTTCGGGCACATAAAAGATATTTTAGTGTTATGTGAAGAACAGAAACGAGGGGCTTGGAGGTATCCAGACTTTCGTCAATGGAGAACGGGTAAATTCTAATTATATTTTGAGCATTTAGGATTTCAATTGTGAAGTTCAAATTTAGGGTTCTTGGATTTGAGGTTCTTTTTTAATCCATAATTTAGTTGGGGGAATTCAAAATTCGATGTGTAACATACCAGTAGGGGTTTTGGTCTCTGCATAAATGGATTTTGCAAGAACTAACAGAGGATTCTATTGCAAACGGACCCTCTGTTAGTAGAAAATTTAAGAATAAGTGACTGAAAGAGATGATGAGCCTCAGGTGATTCAAGAATATAAACAAACAAATTACTGAAGTTTAAACACAATACAGGGATTTCCAAAGCAACGTACATAATAGACAACTTTACAATTTTCCTCACTACCAAAACTGTGGTGAACTACACACATTTTACCGACCGATACAAAAAAAATTTCGCCTGTTCCGTTGTGTGATCTGAGCTTACATATATACACCTAATGTTAAACCATTGTTAAAAAAAAACTTCAGTTACTTCAGCATAGATTTCACATTGCCTTCTTGTTGGGGATTCTTTTCGGTTTCGAAAATATTGCCTGCAGCAATGCATCTCAGCATTATGAAATGAAAATAAAGCAGATATTAAAAAGAAAACAACATGATCAGTGTCCATTTTCAACTCAAAAGATATCCGGTAAGGTCACAATGAGATTTTCGAACAGCCGACTTACATTTAACTTGAGTCTGTTCGCTTTGGAATATTTTCGTTCGACCGTGCATCTTTTGCTGCTTGCGATAACCTCCGTGTGAACTCCACCACATGATTATAGATGCTAAATTGAAATTCAGCAAAGAGGAAATTATCAGAACAGAAAACTCACAAAGGAGCTCGATATTTATGGTCTAAAAGCATAGATAAGTAACAAAGAACAAATGATCCAAGTTGAGTTTGTACCTTAGACGATGTCTGTTGCAGGTTGTGAAGAAAGCCACAAAACCATGAAGAATACTTCTAAGAGCTTTGAAAAGCTGAAAGCCCGCGTAAAAGTAAATCAATCGATAAAAAATGGAAAATTAAGCCGAGTTGAAAAAGCCATTAAGCAACACAACTCATAAACTAGCAACAGAAGGAAAAAAAACAGATTTTTCATATGAACCCACCTGTGAGAAAAGGTCTTTCCACAAAGAACGCCACACAGAGACCTCAACCGAGCTCACTGTCGTGTTAACCCCTTTCGTGAACTGGAATATGCTCTTTGCAGATATCCATATGTCGTCAAATAGGTCATATAAGAAAGCACACATGACAGACACAAAGCTGTAGAGTCCCAAAATCAGCTTAAATGGACCATACAAGAGAACCCAGATTATAGGGTATATGAAGGATGATGCTGCATTTAAAAAAAAAAAAA